ACTTATAGAGAATTCCCTCATTTTAAATTTGAGAAATTCCCATTTACTTGTATTACAATCAAAAGAATCATTTATCTCTATATCTTTTATTAGTTTCTTGATTTTATTGCAGAATTCTTCATTATGTAAGAGAAAGGCATTGAACTTCCAATAACCTTTATTTCTAAATTTTTTACATTTTGGTTCTAACACGAGATCTATAAAGCAATGATCTGTTAGCGGAGCTTTAGAAATTGTAGATTGTGAAGCATATTTTATAATATTGTCACTAACCATCCAATAATCTATTCTAGATTTGCTCTCTCCATTAGGTTTAAACCATGAAAAGCAATCAACTTCAGGATTTAAACATCTCCAAACATCATTCAAATAATTTTCTGATTTAAAAAAATCAATACTAACATTAAGCCGTCCCTTGTTAAGTCTAGGGGGCCATCTGTCTTTCCACTCATCTGGAACCATATTCCAGTCCCCTCCAACCAAAACATTTTCCGTTGGGTATAGCACTTCAGTTTCTGAAATAATATTAGAAATCTCTTCTACTAATTTCTGGTTTTGAATTGCATTGTTAAAGCCATAAACATTAATTAAAATGAAAAAAAGAACATCAATTTTCAGTACCACCATCAACCAATGACCGCTTCCATCCTCTTTATGAGTGATGACTTCCCCAGGACATTTGTTAAAGCATATTGCCACTCCTCCAGAACGATTAGAACCATGACTGAAAAAAATCTTGTCACCCCATTGATTAGTCCAGAAAGAGGTATCCAAACCCGAAGAATGAGTCTCTTGTAGAAATACACAATGAGCTTTCTGTCCTTTGCAAAATAAAAAAAAACGCTTTTCTTTTAACAGTGTCCTTTAAGCCCCTAACATTCAGAGAACCAAATACAATTTTGTCCGTAATCATGAACACTAAAACTGAAAAATGGAAAAAAACAAAAAACAAATAGTAAATAAAAGCACAAATTAAACCACCCCTTTTGAATTCACACTCTCACTCTATGAACCTTAACTTACAAATAGAGCTCCAGTGTCCCACTGAAAAGGTTTCCAACTACCAGTCAATTAGAAACGAAACACTTCACCCGTCAAAATATATCCGTCGACCTTCAATGAAGCCATATGGACCGCGAAAAAACGCCGGTTTTCCTTCCCTCCTTGCTTGTTCAATTTGAGGCCATAACTTTCGTCTGTCTTCCAAATCTTCTCGAGGAAGCATCTCGGCAAATCGAACTCCCTCCGCCTTACAGACCGGTGAATGTTTGGTTCTCCGCCAGATTTCATCTTTCACTCGCCTTTGCGTGAACAGCACAATGGCATTCCTGCTTTTACTGTCCATCTTTCTTCCCAGCCTGTGGACAATGTCAACAGCCTCATCCATCTTTGCGTCCATCTCAGGTGCAATCTTACCGAGGATTTGTATGACATGTGATCTGAGGTCTTCGTCTTTTTTTTCTTCTATGCCTTTGATACGGAGACACCACCTCATTCTATATCTTTCTTGTTCTCTCACCCTCTCCTTAAGATCACAATTATCCTTGCGCAGATGTTCATTTTGTATCTCCAAGTCCTTTACTCTTTTCTTGCACTCATTCACCTCTTCCGTGTTGAACTGAATCGCCTTCGTTAAACTTGCAATCATGGCGCTACTTTGTTTAGATTGCTCACTTAAGCTTCTCAGCTTCTCATCCACTCTCTTTTCCAGATTTAAGATTGCCTCCAGAATGGTTTCGTTGGAGATTTTATCTTTCAGCTGTTGGGCTGTTGGCTTAACTCTTTTCTCCGCAGGAGTTTTACTTGGCGTTGAAGGAAGGGAGCCTTCTCCGCGATTTCTTTTACTTTGCACAGTAACCTCCATTGCATAGTCGTGCAGCATTACTTTAGCCTCATCGTTCTTTTCGATATTAGGCGACAGATCTAGCCCTTTGGGGTCTACTTTTAGCTTGGCAGGTTTAATCAATTTTTGTGAAGACATCTTAACATTAAACAGTCGGAATTACTTCCTTCAAGCAAACTTTGGGGACCACTATCACGAGCTTCGAAAAACACAACCGCTCAACCCGCCATCTTCGCACCCCCTTCAAGCTCTGAATGTGCTTCAGTTGTATTGTAAACAATGACGTCCTCTATATTGCTTATCAATCTGAGCCCAATTGAGACGCAGAGAATATTAATGAAGAGGGTCACGCAGAACCTGTGCAAGCACTGCTCTTAATGGTATGTTTGTTTGTTGTTGTCCCATACTTTTAGATATGCTGTTGTTTGTAAATGCTACTGCTTCTGTTAGCTGTTAATATATGGTTTTATTCTGATTAAAGTTTTAATACAGCACAGCAACCGTACATGTATAACGCTTCTTCATAGCTATGTGAAAATAAGTGTATAAATGGAACAGTTTGTTGGCGCTGATCTGAATGTGAGAGAGAAACAGAAGCAGAGCGTGTGTAGAGAACCGCTGCTTTAGAACATTGGTTTTGAAACTTGTGAACAATAGGGGTTCAATCTTCAACTGGCTGGCAGGAGCCGCCACTGACAGGTCACCTATATTATATTAAAAATACGTTCAAAAGAACATATTCACAATAATAAAATTATGCATTTCCTTGCAGCAGGAGTGGTGGGGAACGCATAGGCATACTCATAGCTTAAAAAGTCTGACTGGAGGAAACTGTTATAAGAGGACAGGAACGCAAATAATATATTAATTGACTCAAAGTTGTTTACAAAAACAATGTAGAAATAACAAAAATAAAATCAGAATGATTTCCTTGGAATGAGAGTCACCAGAGGCTGGCTGGTTGAGCATCCAACAAAGCGTCAGTAAGCAACCAGCCGTGATCACGTTCATTTGACTGCTTTAGTTGGGGGAAAAAACCTAAAAGGTCAAGAGTCATAAAAATATATTCATAATAAAATAGTGTATTTCCTTGCAGGGCGAGTGATAGGGTAGGCGTTATACTCGCAGATCTACAGCGGCTGCCTGAAGCTGCCAGCCAGCCACTGGCAGGTCACATGACCTGTCAGTGGCAGCTCCTGCCAGCCAGTTGAAGATTGAACCCCCACTCCTTGTGAATCCATTAGAATCTTTAGAAGACAGAATCGCAATTCATATATGAACAGATTTTTAGGTGCACCTCTAGTTTTCTCTTCCTCTTCTCTAAAGCAGCAGCATAGCCTCGCCCCCTTTGCTGCGTGTTCCCGGGGGCGGGGTTTATCTGGGTTCCTGATGTAACGGACCTGGGAAGTAACTCGTTGTAGTCCCTTACCAGACATTTTTGTAGGTATTAAACTGCCAGAATTTTAAAAGACAATATCTCCGTTTGCATTGAACTTTCAGTGCTGCAACTTTGCAGATATTGTTTATGCTCAAACAGCAACATTACACACTAACTAACATTTAAAAAAGTGAAATCGCAATCAACCACCCCTTAGGATTTTCTCCTAAATCGGCGAGTTATGAGCTACTTTTAGCCTTAAGATGTTTTGTGAATACGTCTGGTTCATCGCAATGGTTATCACTGCCAGCCATTGCATTTTAGGATTAAATTCTGCATTTAAATTTTATTCCAGAAACTTTGCAGTATTTAGCTAGTAGCTCAAATTGTGAATGGGTATGAAAGCAAGCAAAGAGAGGTCGCTTTATAATCACTGAAGCAGTCAGCGTGACTTCACTGTGCTCTGGACTCTTGCAAACACACTCTTATTCTCAATGAAGTTGTCTGTACTTAAAAATCTCCAATTTATATCATGTTTAAACTCTCTTTATAATTTATAGCATAGTTAGTAAATGCACTCAACAAAAACTACAGGCTTACAGTCTTTATAAGCAAAGCATTTAATATTAATATTTATGATATTCTTTGTTTTTAATGTCAGCAATAATACTGCTGTAACTGGACGTGCTTTGACCATTATGCATTAAATGTATTGTTGGCTATAGATTGAGGCTTTGGTATGGTTGCAACTAATGCCATATCCCCTTATTTTATCTGTGTTCATTATTCCTAGTCCATTCTTGATTTAATGATTTGGAAAAATTCAAAAGGAAAATTTGTTACTTTTGTCAAACAAAATACGACCAGCTTTGAGAATGCATTTGAACCTCCATGAACCTCTCCTGTTCAACCAAACAAAAGCCCAGTTTTGTTCATCCATTGAGCTTAGTATCAGCTTATCATGTGCTTATTTCTAATAACAACAGTCCCATCAGGTAATGCTTGAGGCAGAGTTTTTCTGAACAATGGTATAGTGCGTTCCCGTGTCTTGAATACAGTATTATTGACCTGTCAGAAATGTTTTACCTTGATTTTCTGTGTTCACTGAGGGTTATAAATAAAATGGACTTGACAGTTGAAATAGACAAAACATGCGTGTTTAATCAATTCTAATAACAAGGAAACAAAAGCATTTATCTTATTCTTTTAACAGGCCAGGCCCAGTAACTTTTTATGTTTAAAAAAAATTTTTTTTTGTGGTTTTGTTTTTGCAGGCCCAGTTTGACATCACTGTAGCCAGTGAGATTATGGCAGTTTTAGCTCTCACCACCAATCTGGCTGACATGAAGGAGAAACTTGCAAAAATGGTGGTGGCCACCAGTCGCAGTGGTCAGCCTGTCACAACAGAGGATTTGGTGTGCTGCTGTCATAAGTCTCATTTTATCTGAAATGAAAATGTGTGGATGTTCATCCTGTTTTGATTCTGTATTGTTTGTCTTGGGGAGTGTGTGGAGCTTTGAACTCATGCGAGATGCCATCAAGCCAAACCTCATGCAGACACTAGAGGTAAGAGGAGTTGTCCTGGGTTGTGTATTTACAAATTACTATGCACATCACCTAGATGGATCACCTTTATAGATAAATTATACCTTATTCATGATCAACTCCACAAGTTACTTAAATCAGTTTCCCAGCTGTTTTCTTGTCACTTCTTTCTCTGGTGCTTTAGAGGTGTTTATTGAGTCTTTGTATGAACACTTGTTTGGGGAAACCCTGTGTTTGTTCATGGTGGACCTTTTGCAAACATTGCACATGGAAACTCATCAATCTTGGCTGATAAAATTGCTCTGAAACTAGTTGGACCTCAGGGACTTGTGGGTAAGTTACACAAATCAAAACCATTTTTTGTTATTTGCATAATTTAAATCTATCTGTAAAGGGAAGAGCCAGAATAATTAAAAAACTTGTAACTGTAAAGTTATGTAGTTAAAACAATGTAGTTAAAAAAATGTGGTGTTAATTATTAATTTATTTATTTTCAAAATTATTTCAGTTTGGTGGACCTTTTGCAAACATTGCACATGGAAACTCATCAATCTTGGCTGATAAAATTGCTCTGAAACTAGTTGGACCTCAGGGACTTGTGGGTAAGTTACACAAATCAAAACCATTTTTTGTTATTTGCATAATTTAAATCTATCTGTAAAGGGAAGAGCCAGAATAATTTAAAAACTTGTAACTGTAAAGTTATGTAGTTAAAACAATGTAGTTAAAAAAAATGTGGTGTTAATTATTAATTAATTTATTTTCAAAATTATATCAGTTTTTTTTTTTTACAAGATGCAATGATGCAAATAAACACCCAAGTGAGTTTCAATACTCTATACAGACTTCAGTATATTGTATGCAGTATACACATGCTTGAGTTTTACACCACGTGCATCCATCATATTGCAACATCTTTATGCTGTCTGCACTGGATGCATCAAAGCAAATGGTTCAAATCCAAGCACAAGTCAGAAATTAACTGAGATATGTTTACTGTACAAAATTGTGCAAAAATGGAATTGTTTGGTTGGTTGTCTTGGATCCCATCAGTGTGAATTCCTAGAGGGTTTATTGTTGTTTTGTCATGGAAAACGAGGCTGGATTCAAGTGCGGGTTCAACAGGTGCTTTATTGTGCAGAGATTATCACCGCGGGCAATAAGCGCATTCGCGGACAGTTCGTGTGGACGTGGAAACCCCAACCACACCGATGGGTGGAGAGCAGTGGCTGGAACAAGCCGCGGCAGAGGAGACTGAGTCGGAGGGGCAGCTCGCTAATCCGAGCGAGAGGCTGAGAAGCCCAACAACGAGACCGCGGAGTCCCAGGGTAGGCGGATGCCGGAGGTAGCCCATGGTTCCTGAACGCACAGAGAGGTGCGGAACAATTAAACAGACTGCTACGAGCACTGGAGCCTGGACGAGGCAAGACAGAACTGGTGAGCGATAATACACGGACAGTCAGAGCAAGGGAATAATCACAACAATCTGACAACACACAGAGAAGCACGAGGAGCTATAAGGGGAAGCTAATGAGATGACCAGAACCAGGTGTGAAACAAGGAGGGCAGGGACAACGATCATGCTGACATGCTCACGTGGCGAGCTGTCAAAACAAGCCACGCGCAACACACAAACACAGAGACAACAAGAGACCGGTGATCAGACCCGAGACCCGACATGTTTTCTGCCAGTCACCGAAGCAGGTTTTGGAGCAGATATTGGGATGGAGAAATTTTTCAATATCAAATGTCGCTACTCTGGTCTCAAGCCTCATGTTGTGGTCTTGGTTGCCACAGTTCGAGCACTTAAGATGCATGGAGGTGGTCCAACGGTGAGTCTGAGAATAACTCTCCTCTACTGTATAGTGGGAGAGAAAATACATAATTAAAGGAGAACATTGCCAGCATCTCAAACTTCCTTTCATATATACAGTAATTTATTTACTTTTTCATGTAGATTGTCATTTTGTCTCACTTCTTAGACATATTATTTTGTACAGGGAGTTGATAAATGTGCATTGCATTGCATCTTTACAGTAGGTCACCGCAGGCACGCCTCTGCCAAAAGAATATATTGAAGAGGTACTGTAAGATTGTTTAATGTTTTTTCTGCTAGTCTGTGATCTTATAGATAATGTAGTCTGGTGATTTGAGAAGCTAAAAATGTAGGTGTTCTAAAACTTCTAACTGGTAGTGCATACCATTACCATATGTATAAAATCACTCATAGCATTATGACAGATTCTGGTCATAATACCCACCCCATAACACTATAAAATTTTGGGAGTGGCAACTGCATTTAACTAAAAGTGAATCACAGGAGTCACTCCAGAAACATTCCCAAAACTTTAATGTAGTACTGATCAAACACAGAGACAACAAGAGACCGGTGATCAGACCCGAGACCCGACATGTTTTCTGCCAGTCACCGAAGCAGGTTTTGGAGCAGATATTGGGATGGAGAAATTTTTCAATATCAAATGTCCAAAAACCAGAGTCACTCCAGAAACATTCCCAAAACTTTAATGTAGTACTGAAAAAGTTGGTTTGAATTCTTACAGAATCTGGCACTGCTGGAAGCCGGCTGCAGTAACATGAGGAAGCAAGTGGAGAACGCTCAGCTTTTTGGGGTTCCAGTAGTTGTGGCTGTCAATGCTTTCAAGTAAGACTGCACCTGCTGATTAAACCTATACAATACAGATAAGATAAATATATAAGCTTTATGCAGAGTAGGGCAATTTGTGTTTTTTAATGTCTATAGAAATTTCTAATGCTTTGTGTATTGAGTTGTTTGTTACTGTTGTACAATGGTTTACGATGGACAGAAATGGTTAAAAAAATGTTAACCTGATTAAGGTTAAATTAACCTGAACTACTTCTTGAGTAGTTAACCCAATAAGAAGTCTTCTGAAACCCTACAATGATTTGTGAGAGAAAAAAAAATGTAGTAGCACTTTAGATTAGGGAACACTATTCACTCATTAACTAGTTGCTTATTAACATGCAAATTACTAACATTGGCTGTTTGTAAGTATAGTACTTATAAAGCACATATTAATGCCTTATTCTACATGACCATATTCTAGATCCCTTAAACCTCCCCAATACCTAAATATAACTACAGCAACTGCTTTACTTGCTATCGATAAGCAACAAATTGGGAATTTATTGAGGGAAAACTGAATAATATGATGTTAAAATGTGTAATCCATTGACAGACCTATCATTTAGCCAACAACATGTTTGACTGTGTGACTAGATTCATTTATTTTAGTGAAGTGCTTGGGGGAGATATTGAGTATCATTTGTGAATTGAGTTTCCAGACCATGTTAATCAAACTGCTGTATAGCTCATGTGCCATTCAAACTGAGTCTTGCCATCTCTCATGTATTCAGTATAGACACAAAGGCTGAACTGGATCTGATCTGTAAACTAGCCAAAGCAGCAGGAGCTTTTGATGCTGTGCATTGCTCTCACTGGGCTGCTGGTGGCACTGGTGCTGTAGATCTGGCTAGAGCAGTGCAAAAAGCTGCAGACTTACCCAGCAGCTTCAAATTTCTTTATGACATTGAGGTAAAAAAAAAAAAAAGAATGTTTGAGGTGTTGCATTATAATTTTTATAAGTGATAAATATATCAGTTTTATACATTTGCAGGGTGGTATATGTTACACACAATATTAGAGGGATTACTTTGCAGTCATATTTTACAGATGTACACATTCACACAGTTTGCTTATTAATTTCTGTTATCTTATAGTTACCTATTGTAGACAAGATCAGAATCATTGCGCAGAAGATCTATGGTGCAGATGACATTGAACTTCTTCCAGAAGCCCAACACAAGGTGGACCTGTACAGCAAACAGGTATGAAAAGTGGATTGATTGTTGCCTATAAAGTAAAGCAGCTTTGACCACTTTTACAGATTGTGATGACTCATGTACATTACATTAAATTACAAATGACAGAAAACTAGTTAACATTGCTGCGTGAGTGTTCTTACAGTCATGGCCAAACGTTTTGGCAGTAACATAAATTGTGTTTTGCAAATTTGGCTGCTTAAGCTGTTGTGATGTTCATTCACATTGTTTCTAGATTATTGTGTTGAGTGATCAGATGCATTTTAAATAATTGCTAAAATTATTTTTGTGTTCCTGTGGCTAACAGGAAAACCACTTTTGGAGCATTCTTGTGGCTCAGTGGTAGAGCATTGCGTTAGTAGCGCAAAAGGTTGTGGGTTCAATTCCCAGGGAACACATATACTGGTAAAAAATGTATAGCCTGAATGCACTGTAAGTTGCTTTGGATAAAAGTGTCTGCTAAATTCAATTCAATTCAGCTTCATTTGCCAAAAAGTGAACTTTTCACAAAAAAAACAAAGTTCACTGTTTTTTGATCCTGACAAAATGACCAGCTAACATTAATTGACTAATCATACCAGCAGCACATGTGAAAGTGTGAATGAGTACTAGTCAGGTAAAATCACTATCATATTAATTAGATAGTAATAGCAGACTGAATGCTGTAAAAGGAGGGAAGAAGCGCTTCCAATCATTGTGTTCTTGTTAGCAATGGTTTCCTCCAAATAAACACGTGCAGCCATCATCGCTTTGCATCAAAATGGCCTCACATGCAAGGAAATTGCTACAAAGAATGTTGCACCTGAAAGAACCATTTACCGGATCATCAAGAACTTCAAGGAGAGAGGTTCGACTCTTCAGGACGCCCCAGAGTGTCCAGCAAGCACCAGGACCGTCTCCTCCTGAGGAGTCAGCTACGGAATCGTGTTACCAGCAGTGCAGAGCTTGCTCAGGAATGGCAGCAGGTTGGTGTGGGAGCATCTGCACACATAGTGAGGCCAAGACTGTGGACAATGGCCTGGTGTCAAGAAGGGCAGCAAAGAAGCCACTTCTCTCCAAGAAAAACGTACTGGACAGACTGAAATTCTGCAGGAAGTACAAGGATAGGACTGTAATGGGGCTGACAAGACGTGAGACATGTGGATCCATCTGCAGGCTTTATTTAAGAGATGTGGTAAACAGGCAGGGTCAAAACACTGGCAAACAGGAATATGGCGGGCAAAACAAGAATAGTCACAGGGCTAGCGTAGGTCACCGATCAGCAGACAGAATCACAGGGGCGAGACAAGAGGGAGAAATCCAAGAAAACAGGCAAAGATCAGAAACCGCAAAAACAGGCAAGGCAAAACAAGGAAAACACGGAGACTCCGAAAGGGGTACAGGCTGACTCGACTCAGGAAGATTAGCTGTGACTTGACTCATGATAATGAACTGTAACTTGACTCGACTCATGACGATCAACTGTGACTTGACTAGACTCATAAATATCAGCTGTGACTTGACCAGACTCAGGATAATAAACTGTGACTCGATTTGACTCATGATAATGAACTGTAACTTGACTTGACTCATGACGATCAACTGTGACTAGACTCGACTCGGGAAGATTAGCTGTGGCTTGACTGAACTCAGGAAGAACAGCTGTGACTAGACCTGACTCATAATAATAATAAACTGTTACTTGACCTGACTCATGATGATCAACCGTGACTTGACTAGATGCTGTTGTGTCCGCCATCTTGTGAGTGTGCTCTAGTGTGGCCGCCATTTTGCAATCAGGCTCCACTGCCGCCGCCATTTTGTGAGCGTGCTCTGGTACAGCCGCCATCTCAGTCACAGACACTGTGTCGCGTTCTTCCTCCGCGACACCCACAGTAAACAAAGATCCGACCGTCAACAAAGCATAATCCATGAACTGAGCGAGTGATGAACGTGGACCCTAAGCTTAGCCCTAAGAGGTTGATTTAAGCCATCACAGCAAAACTCTTATCAATAAGCAGTCGGGTAAATCAGAATAGTGAGCGATGGCTAGAAACTCTCGAATATGGTTCTCCAAAGATCGGGGGCCTTGTTTAAGGGCTAACAAAATTCTTGCCATGTCCATACCTGGCCAATATTCTTTGGAAAAGCCGCTGGATCCTTGTTGGGCTGAGTATTCTGTAACGGGGCTGACAAGACGTGAGACATGTGGATCCATCTGCAGGCTTTATTTAAGAGACGTGGTAAACAGGCAGGGTCAAAACACTGGCAAACAGGTATATGGCGGGCAAAACACAAGAATAGTCACAGGGCTAGCATAGGTCGCCGATCAGCAGACAGAATCACAGGGGCGAGACAAGAGGGAGAAATCCAAGAAAACAGGCAAAGATCAGAAACTGCAAAAACAGGCAAGGCAAAACAAGGAAAACACGGAGACTCGGAAAGGGGTACAGGCTAAACAATACTCAGCAGAGAAAGGTGGTTAGAGTGGGTGTTATATAGTGAGTGAGGTGATTAGAAACAGCTGTGTGCAAATCGTGCAAAGAATGATGGGATATGTAGTCCAGGGTGCTATGCAACAGTTTGTGTTGTGCGAGAGACAATGTAATGGAAAGGGTGACCTCTGGTGGTGAATAAACGGAAGTCCATGGACTGAATTCGTGACAAGGACATCAGAGGACTGGTGCAAAGTTATTTTCTCCAACAGTGCCAACAGTGCAGCATCCTGAGACCATCCATGTGTGGGGTTGCTTTTGAACCAAGGGAGTGGGCTCTTTCAAAATTCTGCCATGAATTAAGAATGGTATCAAAATGTCCTGCAGGATCGACTTCTTCCAACGATCCATGAGCAAAGTGAATATACAGCCTATTAAAATAATGCTGTAAATAAGAATCTGAAAAGAAAGAAGCTTAAAATAAATATTTTAACATGCGTGAATAAATCCAACTACCCCTATAGATTTAAGTTTCACTTTCCATAATCCTGATCGTTTTTTGATATCGGCCTTTTTAGAGACCGCCGATCAATCATCCCAAAGCGATTAGCGGCCGATAGTGATCCGTAGCCGATCAATCGGAGCACCCCTATTACTCGCCATGTGATGATAGAGGCCCCAAAAATATTTGATAACCACATTTAAGGTTTTTTGTTGTTGTTTGCTGTTCAAAATTATTTTTTAAATTTATTAAGACTCATGCTTCTTGTCTATTTGTTAAAATTCATGGCTCCGACAATGTCAGTGAAGAAGGGGTGGGAGGTGAGAGGAAACAATATTAAGACATGGAGATCTAAGTATAGAAGATGAAGTTGTGAACCATACATTGAATTTGCTATTTAAAATAATTAAACAATGCACTAAGGAATACTATATCATCAGCACCAGATAAAGATTAGTTATGTTATATAATGATATGTAACTTAAGTGAATCATCTAAAAATATACTCTTGAAATTATATAATACAGTATGGGAATGTGGTAAATTGTCTATCTGCTGGAAGGAAGCGATAGTAGTACCGATACGTCAAGCAGGGAAGGAAGGTAACAGTTCAAATGACTAATCAAAGATTAACAGATTACATAGAAAATAAAGGATATATTTTAAATTATCAAAGTGGATTTAGAAAAGGTAGAAGTACCATGGATCTTACAGTATGTTTAGAATATGAAATAAGGAGAGCACAGATTAATAATAGTGGCTGTTGTCATGATCTCTAGCTGGAGTGCCCATGAACTCCACCAGAGGGCACTCTACCCCTGACTCTTGCCACGCTCACAGACTACATTCCCCATAATCCTTTGCCTGGACTCATCATCACTTATTGCAGTCACCTGTGTCTTGTTACACTATCCATCAGTCACACTCCATCAGTCACACTATAAAGTTTGCACTCATCCACACACACTTTGCTGATTATTGATAGCCTGTTACGTCTTTGTGGTTTCCCTTGTTTCCAAGTTCTGCCTTGCCTTGCCTTGCCTTGCCTTGCCTTGCCTTGCCTTGCGACCCTGCACGGTTTACCCTGGATTATGATTGTTTGTCTTTTGGACTATTCTTTTTTTTTTTTTTTTTGTCTCTTCCTGGATTATACCTATTCCTGTTTGCTGTTGATTGACCCTGCCTGTTTTTGGATTACTCTTTTGTTTTATCCTGGATTATTCCTGTTTGCTGTTGATTGACCCTGCCTGTTTTGACCACTCTTGTAAATAAAGCCTGCACTTGGATCCTCAACCCCGTTGTCACGTCTCCATCTTACAGCTGTGTTTTTAAATACTGAGCAAGCATATGATATGATGTAGGGGTGTCCCTGACTAAGGATTTTCATAGTCAAATCGGAACGTTCGAATCTTGCCGATATTCGACTGATAGTCGAATCATATGTTTTGGGGTGGGGCAAAATACATTACCCAGAGTCAAGTAAGACATTCGACAGCCATAATTACATTAACACACAGGGAAAACGTGTAAGGACGCCTCGCAGATACAAACGGGGTAAATAATGTTTTGATCATAAGATAGTTAACATTAAACGTCAGCGAAACCCTAAGAATTCACAACATTTTTTACAATAGTGCTCTCAATATAATGTTTTGTATATGACAGTAGTTATTATGCTCTGCATTTCTGTTTTGAGCTGCGGGCTGAAGATGACCAGTAGAATTAAGCAGCAGGTTTTTAATCAATGGGATTTAACTCATTTATTTCATATAGGATACGCTTCGTTATTTATACAACATAACGTTAATATTAAGATTTATAGGCAGGGCTGGATTGGTAATCGGGCATACCCGGCATTTTCCCGGTGGGCCGACAGAATTTTTATATATATATATATATTTATATATATATATATATATTTTCATGTATTTTGAAGTGCCCGTGATAACACCGTGCACGACACTGACACTGTTGTTACACTGGCACAGCGTTTTCAAAGCACTCACGAAATGCTGAATTAAATCGACAAAATGCAATGCAGCAACCTTCTTTTCAACATCATCTTTTAAAAATCCATCACTTACCACTATCTTGCTCACTTTCTTTCCTATTATTACTCTTCTCTGCACCAGACTGATAGTGCCGCACCGCTTTGAGCCGGGGGTCTTGCGTAATTTGCGGGGCACTACACAACTTGCACAGTGAGCATATTGGGCCGATCAACTCTGGTTCAAATGTACTTCTTTTTAGGGTAAGGAGGACTGCTAATCTTTAAATGTAAAGTGTTTAATAATAAAATAATTATGCTTGTGCGCTTAAAGTTCTAGGTCTAGCCTATTTATTGTCATCCCTGCAGCTAGTTATGGGTTTTCCAAAAACGAGTGTACTCGCCTGGCTGTATAAGTGATATTGGTAAGTGAGTCAATGAGG